AATCGCAAAGGCAAACGATGATTGGACAGAATTGCGCATGAGACTTGCATCAAATTGCATATTGTCCCGTTCAGCTGTCGCCATTATAGATTTGCTTGCTCGGTTTCAATTTTGCACTGAGATATGGGGCATCCCATCGTGTAGATAAATGTCATGAAAATGCATTTTTCTGTTTTTCATCTCCTTATTCGGTCAGGAAAGATGGAATTCCTGGAACGGGTTGGAAAATGACTGCCCTTTTTGGTTAACTCATTTGTTGAGTTCTGTTTAGAGCGCTTTCTGCTGGTTCGGATGGTATGACGCCTTCCACGTCCACAGTATCGATGTCGAACTCCACTTCAATCGGTGATGATCTGTTCGCAAAACCAGAACTTCCCAAAGAACTGACACATCAGGAGTATATGGAACAGGAAGAAATATATCGCTTACGCAGGGTGGTGATTTGTGTTCTTGCTTTTTTATGCTCAGTAAGTTAGGCGAGTCTCATGTCGCTGCTGGGGACTGTAAAATAGAGGAAAGTTTGTGTTTTAGGCCCGCAAGCCTAACATAATGCCTTTGCTGGGGCTTTTTTGCGGTAGTTATTTTTGGTTCTACGCACTGTGATGAGCAGTATCGCCTGGGCTGTCACTAAAGGATCCTCGATGTTACTGATGTGTACACACGTACCGAACAGTACAGTGCTGGACTGTCTTGTCTAGTGGGGTTTATTCTGGGGTTTTTTTTTTTTTTTAATATGCGTCACAACAATCTGGACCTTTTTTATTTCCCTTCTTTCATTAGCTCCTCGAATTTTGGGCGGCCGCCGTCCTACTCCTGCATATTCCTATTGCGTGTAGGGTTGGTACGGCCCCTGCCGCCTAATACGCTTCGCTAATTGGGCCACTTAACTGTTTTCCTCACAGGGCCTTTTAGGCTCGTACTGCCTTTTGTTTTATCTCCTCTTTGTACCCCCTCGACCTACTGCAGGTGCATACGCATATCGATTTTGCAACCACTGGAATGAATGGTAGTTCTTTTTAACTTACTGATGGGCTAGAACAAATAACACTCTCTGCATATTGGTCTTCCGCGTGATTATACATAGCTCATCAGGCTCATTCGTGAAGAGTTCGGCTTTTTATTGGCTTTGACACGGTTGCACGTTGTGTATTGGTTCTCCATCTTTTAAGTGATTTGTTAACTATGGTTTTCATGGTATATTTATATCAGGAGCATTTAAAAAAGGAAGAATCGGAATTGATTGCGGAGCGTGACCGCCTGGAA